CGGGGTGAACAACCACTGTCTCTACCTGGTAGCCTGTGTAAGCCTCAGCCAACCACAGCAAAGCTCAACCCACCCAGGGCAGACAGGGTCACCTGCACTGTTTGAAATCAGCTTCCCTGGAGACATTCCACTCAAGATCTCCACTTGTCTTAAGAAGCTTTGCACCAAATCATCATTACGATGTGTGGGGGGGGGGAGTGGGCACTTTTCTCTTTGGGGAACCAAGGAGGACACCCAAGACAGTTCCCCTGTCTCCCTTTGCTTGGCTGCGCCCCAGTTGTGATATAATCAGGCTTTCCGAGAGGGAGAGGAAAACCTCAAGAGAGGGAGTGGCTAGTGTTTGTTGTTATAGGAACAATCCAACACAAAATGTGTTTGGGCAAGGGCAGTAGAGGCTTACACAGCCAGTGATATTGATGTGATTAAAGTAATAAAAGGGCAAATTGCTGCTATTTTCTTGTAGTGTGAAGATTCACAGGGGAAGACAGCTGTCAATATATCCAGTCCCCTTGTCAATCAGTGTGATTTACATTTATTTTAACAGTATCTCTTTTCCAGTTGATATTTTTGGGCCATTTCATTTTTCTCTGCTCAGGCAAGTCAAACACAAAAATCAGTTCATCCAAGAGTAAAATAACACACTTTATGACTGTTTGGAAACATCATTCTCAAGTTACCGAGTCCTTTTTTGTTGTACAGGTTTCCCTCTTTTTGGGGGGGAGGGATAACAATTTCATCTTTTCTGAACTGACCTTAACTGGAAAAAGGTTCTGCTTCTTATAATAAAACAGAAACTAGGCAATCAAAAGTATACTGATAAAGAAAAGAGCAATCTACAGTAAATGCCAATTCCACACTTCGGGATATCCCCATAGATTGACAACATATTTCTGAACAATAAACAGGATTATTTAACAGAACATTTGATAAAACACTTGAGAATTATTCAAAAACAAAAAATAAAAAATCCAGACATACATGTATCAAATCATTCCACTTTCCAAACTGTTCCAAAGTTTCCTCTGAGCTGACTCCTGCCTACACACACACACCCTCTGATTAATCACCTCACTACAAGAACCCTAACCACAGCAACCCCTGAGCACCGGTGAAATTCTTTTGATGTCTTCACTCTGAATTACAGAATTCATTCTTGCCCACTTTTCAAATTCAATTCCATTTTCTGCCACAGCTGCCGGTTCTAATGTTTCTATACCAGTCACTGAAACATGACACAGTTCATATTTTTATACCGGTGATTTAGAGTTGAGACCGTGACCTCAGGTCATAAAGATGTGACCCCGCCAGATCTATTTCCTTGGTATCACTCACCAACTCTCCGTGGAATCCACCGCTAGTCCTGAATTCTTTCACTATACCACAAAACTGGAGGAAAAAAAATCTTTCTACTGATGGTATAAGCACTTCCACTTTTGTTCTCCTCTGGGGTTCGCAAATCATTTGGAGCCAAAAACTAGGCCAATTCCTTCTTAAACAAACACTGAGATCTTAGAGTTAAAATGGTCCATTAAAGAAGCTGTTACAAAGTAACCTCAAGTACATGTAGCGGTATTTTAATTTCTTAAAATTTTACTTCCTAAAATTATTGCAATTATGACACTGCCACTTATTCTCAGCATGACTGTATCATCATTTTTTCTTATTAAAACCTCCACCATGTTAACCTTTGACAAATGGCATTTTATTTAACTAATGATCACAAATCATTCCACCTACCATCCTTCTTCCATATTTATGACCTAAAGAATAGTCATCTACTTTCCAAGTTCGAACCTATCTACAGGCCTGTACTTCCGTGGCATTCATTTTAGTACCAACACACCATCACAACACAAGTACTCCTTGATCTTTAAGCCTCCTTGACCCATGCCTCACTCTGAGGCAACAGCTTTGTGGATGCCGCCAAGGCTGGAATCAAACAACCAGTCAAGTTTTATTTGGGAAACCATCTACTGCCCTCACTGTAATGAAGTAGCACTTGAAACATGAGATCTGTCACTACCACGGTAGTTTGGAAGGGTTGAATGGTTAGCCTCACAGGGGACCAGAAAAAAAGTTAGGGACCAATGTATGCCTGGTTGCCTGGTTACAGAACTGGTGGGTACCTGGTTGACTGACCAAGAGAGGGAGCCAAACAACTCACTTCTTCTGAGTTAGCACACAGGTAAAAAGTACATGTATATCAACAACCTCCACCTCAACAAAATTTTCTTTGAGTAAAACTGATAGTATTCTTAGCATGAAAACTAAACAGAGTGGACAAGAATTTGAGATAATACCCAAATACATTGAAACCAAATACATTTAAACTCCAACCACAAAGCAACCAACAGAGAAAAGTTTAACATTAGCTATATCTATTAAAATTTGGCCAGGGAATGATCAATTAAACTTAAGTAACTAATTAACTTAAACTTGAAATTAAGTCACTAACACCAGACTGGAAAAAAATGTGATACAAATTTGATACACAAAGCTAAAAATAATGCAAGCGACACAGATCGAGACAGAAGTCATTTCCTTGATTTAAAATGCAACGAGTGCATACAACAGGCTAGTTCAGCATGTTCATGCCATGATTTCCATCGGACTACTGCTCCACGTTAGAAATGCAAATACTGATGATGAGGTTGAGATAAAATAAATACGAAAGCGGCTTAAACAGGAAAATGAACACGATAAGAGGGATTTCCCACTGCTGCAACACAAAGCACAGAAGGGCAAGGGGACTGTACTTAATGCTGTGGATCAGAGTATCTGAATATCTGGCATATACCGGGATAATGAGACGGTGATAAAGCACTGAGTGTGAGTAGTCAGGCTCTAGTCTGCCAACGGCACCGATGCGGACGAAAGATACTCCACAGTTTCCACCGCGGTTTGCAGGAAAAAATGAGACTGAGATTTCTGTGCGATGGAAGGAGCAGATGGAGGGAGGGGAATGGCTTGACAGACAGTGTGACAAACAGAGAAAGAGAGACGGGCTAGGCAGATAGAAAGGCAGGGATGGCTAGATATACTAAATATATAATTTAATGAGGTTTAGTACTTAGAACTAACAGAAGTACTTACATATATTTAGCCCAGTTGTGAGTTTAATCAACATTACTTAAATTATGTTTTAGGCAAACAAAAGTCTTGAAATACAAAAAGCCCATTCTACAGTCAAAAAATACTATGGAGACGAGATGGACAAAAGAAGTCTCCAGCGGTGCAGATGAAAAACTACACCGATGAAACTGGCAAACATGTAAACAAATAAATAAATCCATTTAACTAGGGAAATGAACTATGAACGGTGAGTTATGTGGACAAAGACACAGATTAATATTATGATATTAAAAAAGTCAAGAAAACTGTATCTTCAGAGATGACCTTGCCCCGAAAATCTAGAATTTGGGATGGATTGCTTAATTTCTCATCTAGAAAATAAAAGTAATGTTTTCTTGAATCCTTGCCCAAAACTGGAGAACAAAGACAGCAGCAAATGAAGTACACACATTTAAAAAACCTACAAACCTCCATACCTCATTAGAGGATAGAGACTTTAGACTCAATCTATTCATGATATAAGACTACTTGTTATTCTGCTCAACCTTTGCAAGGAAAAAAATCTGCTGGTTTCTGGGACATGGAATTGAAAAGCATGAATTTAAACACCACGGCCAGACCATGATAATGTAGATTTTAGCCTCAATACCAACCAGGTGGAACTAATGTTGTCAGACAGAGTAGCTGGAATTCTGAATAGCGAACGACAGCTAGCATAATAAAAGGCCTCATCAAGAGATCAAGAACCGGGACGAGAGGGTTTTACTAGGCATGGGAGGGACGGGGCTGGATGGATGGTACAAGCCTGCCAGCCGGTCGGCAAGCCTACCCCACAGCCTAGTCCACCCAGGCTGCCAAGCGAGGCGCAATGCCGACGCGATAATCCTCTCCTGATCGGCAAAAGTACTCTTCCGCTGCTGCTCGGCCAAGCGGAGGGAAAAACTGATTACATGGATGGAGTGGAAATGAATGAATGAATTCAGTGCTACCATACAGGTATGAGTGCATGTAGTACTCATTGTTAAATGAACCTCTAACCAGTAGGGGAAGAATATCTTTGTGCATGTATTACATTAAGATGTCCTTAAGACGTCAACTCCTCCGTTTATTTATCTTCAGATATTACAAATTTTTCTGAGCAAGAAAAATCATTTAAACACTGTTTATTCCAGAAATGAAAAGGAAAAATCTTTGGTTCATTTAAAATTCATTTCCCGGCATATTACATTTATTTTACACAAAAAAGTCAGGGACCACCCATTTTTTTCTTCATTTTACAGTGAGAAATGCATGAGCTCTGTTTTCTGGGTTTGCTGCACTTTAGTTCTGACTATTGACATCCCAATATGAGGGATGTCTCTGAGGCATCAAAAATTACAATTACAAGCCAGAGCACTCAGCTAACATGAGCAGGATTTTAGCAAGTCTATCTGCTTATTATATTAGCATTAATGCACAGTATTACCGTAATGTAAATGGGAGCTTCAAATGAATTCATATACCGACATTATGCATGCTAAATTCACTACAGCAAACTGGCCTTTTTAATCTCCTGCTTTGAGCAGGCAGAGGTATTGTATGATACAGCACTAGGCCATTTTCATAATTTGATAATCAAATCAAAGTTGGGTTCTACAACAGGTTTTGTAAAAAGACGATTCTTGTTGAAGTTAATACTTGGCATTTCAAGGTTTGGGGATACTTTGGCGTTGTTTTACAGCACTGGTGTTCACAACGTTTCCCATTCAGGTGAGAGTAGTTCAACCTGCTTCCTTTTCTCTACAACCAAGCTAAATTCTAACACCAGTTTAGAAATCTTAAGTACCTGAAGGTAATGGCAAATAGCTCATGGAAATACAGAGACTTGGACAATCACAATAGCTTCAGCCAATTTCACTTCAGTGAGAGAAACCTGCTGTCAGCTTTATTTAAGTCAGACATTTTTAAGTGAGTTTTTTTGGTTTACGTTGAAAGTTTATTACAACGTATTCCATCAAGTAACGCATATATACAACATGATAGGAAAACTTTTTTCAAATCCAAATAAGACTGAGAACATTTACATTCTTGACCAGTTAAATTATGGCTCTAAGTTGTAAAATACAACTGGCAGATCTTTCAAGATCAAACAAATCCGCCAGCAATGAATCCTTTGGTGTGAACTATATAAAATGACTGGCAATACATTTTAGGCTGAAATGTTTCTATCCTTCATCAAGATTGTGTCTGTCAAAATTCCATCAATAATAAAAAAAAAGATAATCCTTACAATTTCAATCCTTTGATTGAAATTCTAACAGTCCAGACTTCAGCAAAGACAAGTGGATTGAGAGTGAATCCACAGCCACACATAAACTGCCCTAGGGTCTCTGGAAAGCTGTAAGCCAAACTGGATACAGACAGAGAGAGAGAAGATGTCAATGGATTGCCCGCGTCCTGAGCTGAACTCGGCAATGCTTGCCTGTAATCCTTGACAATCCTGTTTCTCTCAATACAATCTTCTGGAATTGAGATTCACCTTAAAGGAAAAACTAGTGCACATTTGAAATTATGAAGAGAACTGAGGGACTAAAATGAATGCGGCAAGCAGTCAATGATTATAAGCAGATCTTCATGTGCAATACCACAATCAATCTAAATGTACCCGTATTTACCACAATCAATCTAAATGTACCCGCATTCCTATTGCTTTATCTCTGCACCAATTTCAACTTGATTTTCAGCATCAAATTGTCCCCGTCCACAGCTCATTCACGTTTCAGTTTTGTTCAGAAAAAAGGAGACATTCTGCCTGCAACATGACTCTATGAATGTAGTCATAAAAACCCTCTCTTCGTGGTTTAAAGGAAGCAATACAGTATTTGTTTCAAAATGGAAAAACTAATCTAAAAGCAAGATAACAAAATAATTTCAGCTTAGATAATCTAAGCCACATGATTGATACATTTATATGGAAGAAATATACCCTGGGCACGAATCATCATATTTATTTACAACTTCAACTATTTTTTATGAGTACACCGGCCATTATGCTACCCAGTTACGCCACAAAAGAAAACCTCAAATGCGCATAAGCTGACATATTATCCATAGTAGTCCCCAGACAGAAAAACCTCCCAGGAATTTGAACTTCACAAGGTTAGAGAAAATAGCCGAGTGAGATTTATGGAGTATTTCTGGCCAGGGAGTTTTTATGGAGCAAGGGCTGAGATGGAATGATCTTAACAGATGTGAGAGGGGATCCGTTGGCTCCAAGAAGTCTGGCCACTACTGATACCAGAGGCTGGGCCAAGACAGCCAAACCTGATGAGATGTTATTCCAATCATGACCAGAGAGGGCGCTTTCCACATCAACTGCTCCTGGCATTAAATCAAGCTGCATCAATTTTAAACGCAAATAGGTTACTACTTCCTTAAGATCAAAACTGTTTCACTGACATCTCATCCTCGGGCTAATTTCCTTGATAAACAATTAGAAAAACAAGAACAGTACATGTACCCGCTATGGTGTGCCTTTTATATATACATTTTTTTATCACAACCAGCTTGTTTTACCAAGATTTGATGAGTCTAAATATATCTCTCAAGGGACTACTTTGTCTTGGAATGTCAACACTTACTTAGAAAAGGCTGCCCAGTGTTAAGCAAGCACACATATCAAGCAGTCATGACAAAAGATAACGGCCAACTGAACCATTCAATCCTCTGATTTCAAGGAAGAACAGAGGTAATTCCTGATAATATTGGCAATTTGGTATCAATTTGCCCCATCCAGACCCACATACCTGACAGGGTAAGTGGGATGCCATTCATCTTTTCTGTAGTTTTAGGATGCCACTGGCTGTCACCACCTTTGCTCTGGGGCAAGAATCTGCCAAGACTTGGGACTCCAACCCAGAGAACAGAAGCAGGCTTTTGTGTCCGACCTGTCACCACCATTCAGGGTTGAAATTACAGTCAATGAAGGGCAGGATCGGATGTCTTACCCCTGGTATAATAAAGGCTAGAACCTGGTCCCATCATAGCCCCTGTCTGCCCTCCATATTACCCCCCTCTGGCCATTCAGTGTTATTGTTACTTAAGGGTACCTACTGTTCCTCATGCCATGTCATACTCTTACACTTGCTGATGAACTATGGTCAAATCAAAGGGCAGAATGTGTCTACAGAAAAGGACTTTTTTTCCTTTGGGGCATGACTGTTGCAAGGTCACTCAGGTCAGGGGAGGGATTTTCCACAGTGACCACATTTTTACGATTTGATGACCACAGAAACCAATGGAGAAGACCTCTTACCTTGGTTCACAATTTGAATAAAAAAACCTATGCAATGAACTATGTCTTGCCTAAATAAAACTGAACAATTTACAAAGCACAAATGTCAAATTCATTCAAAACTTTCCATCTATCACATTTTCCTCGACTAATTATAATTTGATTAGTTGCTTTTGTCTCAGCAGAATCATTCTCAAAAATACAACATAAATTTTGTGAGGTGGGTATTCTCAGGCAGAAAGTTAAATTTGAATGAGTTAACAGGGATTTCATGTCAAACTAAGAAATTGTTACAACACCAATATGTTACATTTCAAACTTTGCAAATTTAAAGTTTGAAAGATAAACACACAGCTAATAGTTAAGCCAAACTGTAAAAGTAGAAAATGTGAAAAAAAAATTCTTGAGAAGAAAATCCAACATCAGAAAACTTATTTCAAGTTACATGGAAGAAAGACATCTCGGGCTAACACATCAGTACTTTTAGCTTTATCGCAATCTTACAATTTAGCAGGAAAAAATCAAAGTAAATATTAAAGTGAGATAACACAAACCTAAATGCAGCACTCTTCATGTTCATGTTTGGGCAAATAGCCATCTATCCAGATAGGGTAGGATTCCTTAGCGAGTAATTTATCATTCACTAGAAAGGGAGATGACTAAAAAGGGAGCCTCCCTCTCATCATGATGATCCCAGTAAGACTGACGGCACAAACAATGAGATCTTGGCACAATGGTGCATCCTATCCAATGATTAATGGAAGGAATGCTAACAGGGGTAATGGCCAACAAAGAATGGGAGGTTGACTGGTCCATTTACCTCACATGCAGAGCACGAAGGGGAGGGGGGAATTGGGGCAGCAAGTCTTCAGGTACACAGGCAGTTTGAGGGCTAGGCTAATTTATAAAGATTAGAAGCTTTTCAAGTGTCAGAGATCTAATCGAAGAGGTTTTTGTAAGCCATGGGGTGCCTGTAAAGATCCCATTTGCAGACCTTGGTGGGCCAGTGAGATGGAAGAGACTTCAGGGAGGAAACGATAACTGGAAATAAGTCTGGTGTCTAGACTAATCAGTCAATATTGTTTTATCATTCAAGTAATCTTGGAATGTCTGTGATGCAGACAGATCTGTCCCTTGACAGAGTTGTACTGACAGCAAAAACTACTGACAAATAAATTCATGGAAAAAAAAAATTTATGCTTACAACAGATCAGTAAGTTACAAAAATGTTCAGGAGCATCCCACCCAAATATAATTGTGTGCCAACATCCTTCATGTAATTTTGAAGTACTCATTACAGAAAAATTCAGATTGGACAGATTTGTTTCTATATTTTGTTATAATCATCATCTGTGCTTAACAAGAGCAAATTTGTGATGAAGAAAATCTTAAGCTGACACAGATCAGTATTATAGCTTCTTGATCAGATTTAAGTCAACAAGTGTCCACTGAAAGACTGATTTCTTTACTTCACAATGATTTGTTCTCTATCCACCATTCCAACAGCCACGCCAAAAACCCATTTTTACACCAAAGCTTCTTTTTCCAGAGTGACAAAACTGTTGCCTAAGCTAAGCAGTGTGTTTTGCAAAGTACCTGTGAGTGTCATTGTAAAAAAAGCTTACAAAAGGGATGCATTGTCAGAGCCCAGGACCGACTCTTAATACTCTGAAATCCTAGTAACGTTTCCCTTCCTTTGTGTTCCAGTGCGGTAGAGCCTTTGAGTTCTAGAGAAGTGAGAGAGGGCTTAGAGGAAGGCACAGCAGGACCTGTTTGACCCAATCCATCTCATTTCCATGTTGATAGAGTTATCTTTCTCGCTTTACAAGTCTGGCAGTAATGCTGTACAAAACCCAGCATCCAATCAAAGATGCAAGGAATCTCCAATCGGTCTCTTTCCCCTTCACCCACACCTCTGAATAGTGGGCCCAACTGGTCCATGTTAGGATCTGCGTAATGATCCATTGTCCATGATTACAATGCCATACCCCGCGACCCGCCAACAACAGAGATAGGAGACCTAGAATGGGTAATTAAATCCTGAATTAGAAGTGTCTACCCTGATCATTCTTAGTCCAAACAGGGGACATCAATGCAGCTTAATCCTCTCCTTTAACCAATATTAGTTCAGTGAGAAGATGTGAGTCCCTACACCACAGGATCAAGTGAGAAGGTAGTCAAGTCTTTAAGAAAGGGTAAAACCAATAAAGGAAGGCGGCACACAGATCACACAAAGCCGCCTTGCAAAGTAATGGAGTATTGATTGCCTGTGGAGGTGATTCTGTTTTCCTTTCTTTTCCTTTCTTTTTTTCTTCTCCTGAGACACCCACGAGATGTGTTTATCAATGTCTATGAGGTTCAGGAGAGTCAACAGTTGTTTTTTCTTGAAGTAAAAATTCCCCACTGAGTAATTTTAGACCGTAAATAAATAAACAGGCAAGCAGATTGAAAAAAAAATTGAAACATGCATCACATGACAAATGAAATGAGACTCTTGAGTTCCTTGCCCATCAATCAAAATGAGTTCTTATCATCATCAAACGTGAACATGTCATGTTCATCATGTTTTCCAGGAAACAGATATAATTGTTTAAAACTTGAGTAATTACAAATCATTTGACTTTTGGTACACTGCCTTAAAGGTAACAATGAAAAGTTAAACTTTTTTTCAAACAGTTTTTCATTTCCTCCATAAATCTCGCACCGTCAAAAATAATCTTATTGTCCCTGCCAAATCTGCAGCCTGACTCACTGGCTGACCAACCCAGTCTAATAAAACTAGCTTTGTTTGTCTACTGATTAAACAATCCTCTGAGGCCTGTCCCGACTGATGCTTGAAAACTGCACAGCCATGCCATTAATATTAGTGAGCTGGGAATTGCCCAGATATTTCTTACTCTGACAATAAAATAAAAACTCCTGCAATATTAGCTGGGTCTACCAGCCTGTAATTCTCTGGTGACTTTAAACAGGTGTTAACTAGAGTGTTGTGACCTGGACATGAAGAGGCGATAAATGTTATTGGAAGTGGACGGCTGCAGGGAAGTTGTGTGCAGTTTAATGAGTGGAAAGATACGCTTGTAGTTCATTGCTAATGCTGCCTTCTTCAAGGTGCAGCTGCCGTCAAATGTGCAGAAATACTTGGCTTGGAGTGTTGGCATAGTGATGCTGTAAAACAGCCAGAGTATTGAAAAGAAGCAAAGGGAAGACAGGGGTCTGCTGTGAAGATGAGACACCTGTGGTTAGCATGACTAGCTCATTCATTGCAGGTGGTACCTACAATGCCTTGCCACACGGCTAGAACTGTGTGACTTTACACCTCTACTGTGCCCGCTCCATACAGAAACGGTCTCATTATGGCTCATCACCTGAGAATGATGGTGTCGCTTCCGCCCAAGACATGCTAAAAGGTATTTGCCGCTCATGGTCGAACGCTAACATCTCAATGAGCAAGATGATGAGGAAAAATCAACAACTGCATGCTTACTAAATGAAAAAATGTCCGAGAATGTGATGAATGTGATGATTTGTGGGGTGTTAAATGATGGAAGGATGCTGGGAGTTGGCAAGGGCAAGCTGTGATATTGGGATCAATGGAACAAAGGACTGGAAAGCACACATGACTGAGATCAAAGTGCAATGGATTTCACACCGGAGAAAACTGCAGGAAATTATTCACTGAGTTGTCATTACATGGAACCCCGTGTACTGGTTGATAAAAAGCTGCCCAGCAGTTGCAACTACAAGGTGTCATTCTGTGACTATCAGGCATGAATAGACCATAATTTTTACATTGTGCTTGTCATTTCATCCCAACTTTAATGAGACTTTTACTGATGCATGTTAATGTCTTCTTTCAATTTTTACAAGTTTGGATGGGTGGTCAACTCACTGAAAACCTCCACTAACAAAATGTAGTGTGCGTACTAAATGTGCTTAATGTATTAATAAATGTGTTTCCATCTAGGGAAACCTTTAAATAAGTGAAGCATTGTGAGGCAATTTCTATCATGTCTCAATTTGGGAATTATTGGTATGTTTTCTCCTCAATACACCACTGCTCAGACTGCTTGGTAATCCAATACTGAGCCAATTCACAAATGTTGAGTTCTGCTACCACGACGAAAAAAAAAAAAAAAACAGCGACTAGGCATTTCATGAAGGCACCACTGAATGCCACTTAATCAGTCACTAAATCTTGGTCATTGCTTCAACAATTCCCAGTCAATAGCTTTCTACGAAGGCAATTTACTGCCTTTGAATTTGTTTCAGCATTCAAATTGATATATGGATCATTTGACTATGGTATACAAAATCTTTCTAAACCTCTCTACAAAATGATGAAATTTGTATTGCAGCAATCAAAGCAAGGGAAATTAATCATTAAAAGGTCTCACTCTCTCATCCCCCCTTTTTCCCCAAGTTTCTTCACGATATGAAATGGGATTTTGAACAGAAACACATGATTTCATCTGGTGGTCCGTGCAGCACACAATGCCTTTGCAAGTCGGCTGGGTATTATCTAGCACAGTAGAGCGAGCTTTAGATTGGCAACGATGCCTGCGGCGGCAAAAGGGGATAATTTCAGTTTGACAATGAAATCACTCCAAGTTGCAGGACTCCTGTACCGACTTGCACTTCAATCACACAGGGTTAGTTGCCTGGCAGAATCTAATCTGTTGATAGTTTCTCAAGGTGTTATCTAATCACTATACTGCAGGATACTCTTAATGGATTTTTAATCACAATACTGAACCAAATTGAAAATCAGCCCCTCGGTCGAGCCATGCATGACCCACAAATAAAAATGCAGCCCGGTACAACCACTTCGTGACAAAATTCCATCCTGGCAGGATAGATACGCAGAGAAAATGATTTGACCAATCCTATTTTGCAGCTTGCATAAACAAGGGATCAACATGGCAAGAAGGTAACAGGATTTGAGACAGTCGACACAAATGACTTGCTGGGGGCCTTGCTATGAGGCACGGTGTGTCTGCGCGGTCATTGAGAAAACGCAGAACGAGAAGAGTAGGAGAAGGAGACAAGTGACTGGAAACTGTGAGAGGAGAGAGAGTGAGAGAGCTCTAGGGCCTGCGGACATTCACAGATGCGGTACAGGAGCCTCATCATCAATCCTGTCACAAGATGTGCAACTACCGTGTGCGATGGCACTGATAATCTACGCTGATTCAAAGTTTGCCAACAAAGGTCCAAGCGGGGTAACACACAAATTGACTTGTAAACAGGAAATCATACATTTACAGATATAGACTGACAAAGTCAGAGTTTCTGAAAATGAAATGGAGAAAATGTAATGACTGTGTATTCAATGCAACAATTCCTATCAGCCAGAGAAAACAATAACTGTTCAATCAGCTGACATTTAATATTGCCATTATCATCAAAATATTGACAAAGACGATTTCTCATTTGTTGAGTGATACGAGTCCATGTCAAACATTTCCATTACTGACAACTTAAACAAGGTTATAATATGACAAACTTCATAGGCTTCAATACTAAATAAAACTAAAAAAAATAAAACAAAGATGCAGACTATCACAACCATCATTCTGTAAATGTGGCTTGTCACTCTTCAAGAAAAACCTTTCCATCTTGATAATCCAAAACATGGACCCCCATTGCCTTTAGAGAGTCCCGCCTAATCCTCTAATGCAGTTCCAAATACTCCCATCAA